TTTATCTGAGTAATTCTTTAATTAGTTCATTGGTCTCTCTTGGAGTAGGGTAGGGACAGACAAGAACCACTGGGTTCTTTTGGAGAAGGCAGTTTCTTTCAAGGAACCATATTTAGAAGACCATATTCTTTTAAAGGGCAAAGTTATCTCCTAGAGCCTCCCCCCCAAAAAAATGCAGGGACTGTGAAGCTTCACAGAAAAAGAGGGGTTGTTTTGTGCTTGAATAATATTATTACTTCAATATTTCATCCTTCTTATGTTCAGAAAAATTGGTTTGGATTTTTTCCTGGGGATGCATAAGGTATCCCTCAACTGTAGAGCAAGAAAGTACAAATAGACATCCTTCAACATACCATGGGAATAGCATTTATAGCAGTGTGGAAAGATGAATGGTACAGTAAAAGCATATCCTTTTTATAATGTTTGGGAAACAACAGCACTGTTGGCTTCAGCTTGATCAAGTGACCAGAAATCTCTTGGGTGGCTATAGAAAGATGAAGACATTGATGCAAAACTAGCACTGAGGAACCAAACCAAATCTATAACATGGACCCAAATCTACCACCCAAAACTATAAAGCTGTACTTACTTTGCAATGTCTTGGTTTTTTATTACATGGAGACCTACTTGCTCAAAGGAAGGTGCACCTCCTACGAGGGAGACAGTAATAAAGGTCTGGGTATTTCTTTTTTTCATAACAATATCTGTGTATGCAGAAATTGAGTGTCTAGAACTGCTTCAGTGTCACTAAATACTCTTATTTTTTTTTCCTTTCCTTTTAGTTCTCTAATCCTTCCAGGTTATTCCTGAATGGTCATTACTTTACTTACACAGCAAGCACACTTTGCATAACTGGAATGGCCAGGGGGCTTTAAAATAACAAGTTATTTAACATTTGTCATAATTTTAATCAAATATATAGAGGAGAGCAACAATTGGAGAAATTGAAACAGAAAAAATATGTTTATCCTTCCTGAAGAAGTGGGGCATGTGACTGGATCTAACATTAAGAACCAACACACTCCTACCTGCAGTGTAAATGTACTGTATTAGGTCATACATAAAAGATCACTTTAAAGTGGTGTTTTTAAGAGATACCACTAGAACGTTAGATTCATGAGAATAAGGTTGTACTGATTCTCTAATATCAGCCACTAGCACAATTTGTTGCCCCACGGTTTTGGGGAATAAAAGAAAGCACAATATTAAACCGGAATAACAAAACAACCATCACAAAGCAGTTGAATGGCTGCAACTCTAAAATAATAACATTTTGGTATAGGATAAAAAAGGAAATATGAAATTAATTAATTAACTTCCAGAAACAGTAATGTAAAAAGTAGTTTATGTGTTGTACTTTATAACATTAGTTTAAAATGGATTTTTGTAAGCATATGAGTTGGTATGTGTAATACTTACACAGTGTGGGTATTTTAAAACTATTGTCTTCAGTTATGCATGTCCTAAAGCTCTTGTTGAACACCTTTGTGTTAAGTAGTTTTTCATGCAGAATGCTGTTCACCCAACCTTATTACATACTGAGTACACGAAGGGTATTTCAGCAGAATTCTACTCTAATTCCTGTTCCCTCTGAGGGTGGGTGACACGTTGTGCTGGTTTAAAGGTAAACCAGCAGGGGAAATGAACTCAACTCAAAAGAGAGACCACAAGTCAGAATAACAATTTAATAAAACAACACAACAAGTATGATTATACAGACAAACAACCGGCTTCAATGCACAAAAACCCAAATGTACAACCCAGCACCCTGGGACATGAACAAAACGGTGTTCCTCAGGCCCCCCCTGAGTCCAAAGTAAAGGGAGAGGGGAAAAACCTGCTGGTGGGAGAGCTGTTGCAGTCCGGTCAAAATGGTGATTGCAGTCCAGTCGAGGGTGGTGGTCTCAGTCTGGCCGAGAGCGGTGAGCTGCAGTCCTCCTCTGGATCCCACAAGTGGTAAAAAGGTTCCAAAACTCCAAGTTTATATATTCTCCAGTTCAGGCAGGAGTGCTCAGTCCTTCCCTCAGAGCGGGGAATTCCATAAAAGGGTATGAGGACTAGAACATCTACAGGCCTCTACTGCTAACAATTTCTGGGAAATGGCATGGAAGGCTATAGAATACACAGTTTTGGGTTACACCCATACCATGATGAACTGGTCTCAGCTGTCCTAACTAGGACACATGTATTCCTTCCTTTTGCAGGTTACACTGGTCTGATGTTCAAACTGAAAATCAGGAAGAACATTTCTTCATACATTATTTCATCCATCAGGAAGTTTGTGTGCTCCTTGTCAGATCACACCTGCAGGATTATAGCAACAGTGATACCAAAACACTCAGTTTTGTTTTAGGTTCCATGAATCACTTCCCATGAAAACATGAGAGCACAGGTTTCAGGATGGAACTGCATTTGGGTGTAAACCCAGGATTTATGGACTGACTGTCCTGCTCAGCTCCTGGTGCTTGATTATGCCAGCTTTAATTTTCCAGCATTTATTTTCCCATGTTGAAAGGACACAAAAGGAGAAAATTCTTCCTATACTGGTGCAGCCAGTCTTTTACTCTTCATTGTATCATGGATTCTGGTGCAATGCCCATTAAAATTACAGTGTAATAACTGTTGATGTGAGTTGGCTCTTTAGTAGCAAAACCATAAGTTGTACAGATGCTCTGTTGGATGTGAACTTTGCAAACAGTTCTACATTTCAATGTCTCACACAGATTCTAAATATCCCTGCTGAGGAGCATTGCCATCTTCCAAACAATTCAGCTGATTCTGTACAACAGCAAGAATTATCACACTTCTATCTGTTCTTTCTTAAAATGCAACATCCATTATGTACACTAATTAAAATGCTCTATAAATCCAGTTCCTGATGTATCTTGCAGTTCTTAGAATTCTGGGCTTTAGGAAGTATGGCTGTCTCTGGCATGGAAAATTAGGGCACTTGTTCAGAAGCAGGAAGGGAGGCAGTCTCTCAGTCCATTATATTATTTGCACTGGCTATTTCATTCAAACTGCTCCCCCTTCTTCTCCTACCCAGCAGACCTCTCAGTGCAGGTCTAAGCTTGTGTGCCTGGCTTCATGGAGGCTGATGGTGCTTGCTGGCTTGGCTCAGAAATTTAAAATATCACACAATATCAAAAATGTGGAAACAGTCACATTCAGTGAATGAAAAGTCTGACAGGAACTTGCTAGCTGAGGAATTCCACAGAGGTGTCAACTGTTAAAATAAAGGAGACATCCTCCACTTCCACAGGAAGTATTGTTTTGTCTGTGAAATCTCTATTTCTTACAAGAATATCCTTATTAAAAGATATAAAAAATAACAGTCCTGCTCCAGTTTTGTAACTTTTTGCTTGCAGTATTTCAGTTTTTAACTACTACAAGATAACTGAGATCTTATCTGAAAATAATCCATATTTCTTTATTTTATAGTTCAAACACTGAGGTTGAAATTTATTGCATTAAAGCCAGCCAAATCAGCATGAACTCTCTCAAATGTAATGAATTTGGCTACATGGGGGTGTGTGGAAAAGGCTGAGGCCCAACCTCGGAGAGGTTTAGGGGTACAGGAACTGCAGAGCATCCTACAACACTTTAAATGGCCAGGGAGGCTGCCAAAGCCCAGCTGCTGGAGAGGAGTGGAAATCAGCACCTTCCCAGGAGGCAGATGTGTCCAAGACACAGCATGGCCACAACCAAGTTGTGGAGCAGCACATAGGACAATTCCTGGGCTCAGGAATTCCCACTAGAGTGGATCGTCAGAGGTCAGAGCACTCTGGCTGCAGAAAGAGGAAAACACCTTTTTTTCACTCTTTCAAATCTCAGCCCTTGGGTCAAACACTACAGATTTACAGGAACTTTGGGGTGAAATGGAGGGGAAAGGCTGGATCCTAGGAGGAAGAACAGAGGCGGTTCAGTGTGGAATCCCAGATTTTATACTACAGTGGATTTTGATACAATAAGACACACTGAGGCCTGATTTGGCCAGGAAGACTAAGGCACCGACTTCTTGAAATCCTCCTCAACATCTCAGGAGGCAGTGACTGATTCAGTTTGTTTAATACTGTGAGCTGCTCAGGCCTTTAAAGTGCTGTTATTGATTTGGGAATTATTAGCAATGGCAATAGTGATAAATAGTTCTGTGAAATTAGATGAGAGCAAAATACACAGAGCTGTTTAACTCTGTGACAAAATAAACGTTTTCACTTCTACAAAGCTTTTCTGTTATAAACGAACACAAAGAACTAGAAAGGGTTAATTCATAAGTACCACCTTACTCTCATAGTTTAGAAAAAATACTCTTTTGCTTCACCAACTTCTTTTAGATTGGGGAAGATTGTGAAGATCCTTGCCCACCTCCTGAATAAAATTCTAAGAACATGGAAGATGCTGAAGAAATGCTGAATTGTGTGATAGGCAAGTGATAATAGCTTGTTTTATGGCTACATAAAGTGATATTTCTCCATAATAAACTTAAGGTAAATGAAAAATTTAAACTTTTCAAAATTACCAATGGTAGAAACTTCTGATTCATGAGGATTCAGATCTAGAGGGTAATATTTTGGCTACAAAAAAAGTTGTTTCCACTTCATTCCTAATCTCCCTTTCTGTGGAAAAGTATAATTTTGTTGGGGTTCCCTTGGGATAGTGCTATCTATAAACCTTCCAGGAAAAACTGGTAAGCCTGCTCAGGAAAGAAACCATAAGGGTTGGGAAAATGTGACATCCACATTTGGGTTTGTTTTGCAGTTTGTGTACATTTCCTCAAACACTAAAAGACATTACCATCTATATGGTTACATTTTCCAGCAAGTGTTGCCACTAATTTGGACATGTGGCTTTGTATTATGATTTCAACACTGCTCAAAAATACACAGCCTTTCCTGAAACACAAATAAGGCAATACCTAACTATCAAAAATGTTCTTTACTTGGCTGTTTAATTGTGTGTAATATATAAAAGCATATATTGAAAAAAGTGGAATTGCTTACCTCAAAAATATAATCTTTTCCATCCTTTCCATGCACAGCTTTAACAGCACAGATGTCCAAACCACCAAATATTTCAGAACAGGTGTCAACCCAAAGCTTGTACCTGTTTCATAAAAATAATTTTTTTCTGTGAGTATCTCATCAGGCTCTTGATTTTCTACAGGCTTACCTAGTAATGTATTCTATATAACATTTGCCCTGTATGAATTTTCCCTGTATTGTCAGTTGCATTTCTCACAGTAGTAGCTTAGAGGTACTGGCCTTATTACTCTACTTTTCCCAGCAGACTCCAGCAAAGCTGTGGCTCTCTATCCTGACTTAGTGTTATGCTGGATTCTGTCCCAGTTTAGATTGATCCAAAATTTTGCGTTTGCTCTCAGCTGTGAGTAACCTGAAGATAAGCTGTGCTGAAACACAAACACATTTAGCTCTATCCCACCCTGCATTGCCGAAGCCCTCATGCCAGTACCCCCAGCTGGTTGTGGCTGGGCTGCCACAGAAATTCTCCACAGTAGGAGGATTTATCATCTGACCAGTTTCTTTGGCTTCAGAGATGCCAAAGGTTTTGAGAAAGTAGGCTTGTTTTTTTCTGGGAAATTCAAAGTTGTGCCTAGGTTCAAGTGTGATGGTCCTGCTGCCTATTGCGCTTGGCAGTGTGCTTAGTTCTGGTTGGGTTTTACTCTTGTATCAGGAAAGTGAGTGAGTCTCCATCCCAAATTACAGATCCAACTTGTTCCAAAGAGGCAATGATGGCTTTATACCTATGGCACTAAACATGGCAAAAGAGAAATCAAGCCAGAAAACCCTTAAGATGGCACAAGAGAACCAGATGTATGACTAAATGTTATATAGCATGCAGACAAGGATAATTGTCTTCATGTAGGGTTACGGGCAACTACAACAAAATTCAATTGGAATTCAAAGAATGCAAAGGAATTCTACAGCTCCTAAAAAAGTCTAGCGTTTCATACAATACCAAACATAAAAACTCCTCTGCTTCTTTTGCAACATCATGGTAAGAAATATGGCCCAAGGAATGGACATTTGACCCATTCTACACGCAGGAATATGATTTATTTTTCTTTCTTTCTCTATGAATAGAGAGATTATCTGACCAACAAGGGGGTGAAGTGGGAATTAGTAGTAAAAGAGTGAGGCAATTTGTGTGATCAAGCCCAGAGCTGCAGGTGACATCAGCACAGAACTGTGCCGGGAACTGCCTGGGGTGACATGAGCTGTGTGTGCTCGTTCAATGGCAAGGACTGACCCAGGGGACACAGAACAACACTGGGAACGTTCATTAACTAACAGCAGAGCTGGGTATGGGATCAGTCTGTGATGAAATGACCCTGAAAGGTTATGCAGGCAGATATCACAGTGACACCAACTGAAGGACAGGATTTGCTTAGAAAAGAACCCAACGAAAAGAAGCCATTTATCACGAACTTTCATTGACCAGCACTGGAGTCTAAACCAGAGCTGTTTCCTCTAACAAACTCTCTCCTGCTCCAGCCCTTGAGCTATGATCATAGATTTGCCACCTCAGGATTTTCCATTGCAAAACCCTGCTGTAATAAACAGCTTTTCACTGTAGGATCAAAAGAAACTCATTGCTGGGCTGAGAGTCTCATTCATGTACAAGTATCTTCAGGAACAGCATCCTTTCCAAGTGAACTTATTAGGTCACATTCTTTATATTTTCTTATATCAAATCTATTCCAGTGGAAAAGTTTTTCTTTCCAGCAGAATACAAAGAAATTGATAAAACTGTTTGAAAAGATCCTGATGGTAATATCTAAGAAATGAAAATAATTTTTTTTCCTGGGGGAAACATGTTTTTTGTCTAATATAAGAGGTTTCTTTGGATGCCTGACAATTTCAACATCTGTAGATGAACTGACTGCACAGTTTGCATGCACTTGTTTATAAATAACTTTTTTTTTGCTGCTAAATCATCTTAGAAAGTCATGAGGACAGCAAAACTTGTCTTTAACAGAAAATATCTGGACTTTATATGAAAACAAAAATGAAGACATTTTCCTTAAAATATTGAAACATGAATCAGATTTGTGAAATTATTTTTAATAGTCTATCTTCTGCCAACACACACAGAACTGGAAAAATACAGTTATATTTGGAAAGGGAGGTTTTGGATGGAGTAGTCTGTAGTGTTTTAAACCCGAGGTTTTCACAGTATGTTTGACAAAAAGTCACAGTTCTTATTTTCCCAGAGCCAATAATACAGTGTGCAGCAGCCCTGGATAATAAAGGCAATTAATACAGGATTGCTCCAGGTGTGTGACAGAAAATATCAGGTGTGCCAGGTGAGGTGGGCACTGCTGGCACAGCTCTCTGTTCTTCTGGAACTATCTGGGGAGCAGAGTCCTTCAAACAGGGGGGCAGTGAGAAAGTGTAACACTGAAATGTGCTGCTCTTCCACCTCCTCTCTGCCCCTTGCTGGGCCACAATCTTTCTTTTCTAATTTCTAGACTCAGATTTGTATTCAGCCAACAATGTCAATCAGGTAGTGCTTTCAAAGCACTTCTTCCTCATTCATGGCATGCATTATAAATTAAATGCATCAGATCTGATTGCTCTTGCTGTGTCGTGAAACTGCTTCAACTCTTCAGAAAACTTTATTTTTCCCTCCTCTCCCTTGCTGTGCAGTGTGCACTCAGTGGGTAATCACACATACCCCTTCCTCTTATGAGAAAACATCCATCTTTTCTATGCTTGTGCCTTTGTTAGCTTCAAAGTTTTGGTTTGTTGGACTTTGTTTTAATGTGAAAATACCTATTTATTTTTTATAAAAATATACTATATATAAATATAACCTCGCAAAATTCACAAAAATTATAAAAAATTAAATTACATATTTAATAGATTAAATATTATTAAATAAATATATTATTATTAAACAGGAAAAATACCTATTTATAATCTCTAATTATCTTACATTCAAAAATGGAAGTAGAAGCAAAGCACATGGAGTATTTCCAGCAAGTGCAGGGCCAAGGGGAGCATTTCCCACTCCTACTGATACTGTTCATTTTCCTCAGGGCAGAACTGCAATGCCTGTGTTTTCACAGAACAGCCCATGGACTGTAATTACACACACACCAGAGCACAGTCTTGCTTTTCCTTCTCAGTGAAAACATAACCTCACTTGCTAGAGGAAGGTGGGTGGGAATGAGAAAGAGAAAATGCTGTGGCTCCAGTCCATGCCCAGAGCGGAGCTCAGTGAGGACACACAGTCTAGACAGGGCTTGGACAGCAGGGAGCTGCAATTCCCATCTCACTTGTTTTCACCTTTCCAGGGCAGGCAATGGTTCAGTTCCTGTGTCTCCCTCAGCTCGTAAGAGAGACCAAGTGGTAGGTTCCAGACTTAAAAAAAAATAACAAACAAACTCCCCAAACACCAGAAAAGGATTACTGTTGAACTGTAAGACCTTTCAAATTACGCTTTTATTGTACAAATTTTCTTCAGTTAAAACTAGTAGCAGCCTTTGGAGAAGCTGAACAACAGAAAATTCGTAACCATCTAAAAGCTTCTCAGATTTATTTTTTGCAGGGAGAAGAGGTTTAGGTGTTGTGGAGGAACTTGGAGCAAATGGGGACTACAGTAAATCAAAGTAGAGAGCTGGAATGATGGCATGAGGGAAATAAGCTTCAGTGTATCTCACCAACAGGGGGAAAAGCCTCACAGTGAAGTTTAGTGGAAATTTATAAAAGAAAAAAATAGCAATTTAGGATTGAAAGTAGAAAAGAGAAATGTGATTTAAATAGGTAAAGTGAAGACTGTATTGCTTGGTTATAATGAAGGAGGTAGAAAGAAAAAAATTTAAAACAATGTGCATAGGGTAAGACTGAAAGGTAAAAGAGACAAAGAAACCAGAAGAAATGAATGACAGGTTGAATATAAAATTTTTAAAAGGAATTCCAGTAGTTTTCAAGGTGCAGATACAGATGTGGGAACTTAAGGGTGTACATAAGCACCTAAGGCTGCTGCATGTGGTGAGTGAACTGTGAGAGGAGCCATATGAAACTCTTGGCTCATCTTCTTTCACCTAATTGGAAGATTTTCTTTCCCAAAACAAACATAAGACATGCACTTACTGTGAATTGCTTATCAGCACTGGGATTTTCTAAAAATTAATTCAAAATAAAATTCCATTAATTTTTTTTAATTTTTTTACATGAGACGACTTACTTATCTGACATAGCAATTTGTTCCAACATTGCAGAGCCCGTGTTTGTCTTCCAGTTTCCAGATATGGAAGTTCTCCTGAAAGGGGGAAAACATTACAAAGAGAGCCAGTGGTTTCATACTTTCACTGTCCATTAAATTACTCTGCTTTTCACATGAACACAGTAGCAGTATTTACACCTTTTTCATACCTGGCATGTTGTAACAGAACATCTAAACCATGAGGAATTCTGAGAGACATTGCCATTGTCAGGAATACTTGGTTGGAGGCACGTTACAAAGTATGACAGTGCTGTGAAATTTCTGCTCCCCGTTTATTCATATAAGACTTTTTAAAAAAAATCCAACCTACTCTGATCGACAGTGTTAGCAAAGAGCTGGGATGATTGTAAAGGGACTGATGGCCTGGAACATACCGTTACTGCAAATGGAAGTGTCCAGAAGCTTCAGCTTGTCGTTTCAAACCCGTTACACTGCAGAGTTAGGTCCCAATACTTAAAAAGCAAGATATCTATAGGGTTTCTAACATCTCTGAAGTGATTTCAGAGCTGTTTTGGAGCTGGATTTTTGGGTTCTCCTCCACTTTTCACTCTTTGCTATCTACTAATATAATCTAAATAGTCTATGCCAGGACCTGAGTACACTACCTCCTGTTTAATCTCTAAGAAAAAAAATCCATGTAAAGTTTTTTTTCTCCTCAGACCTTGGGATTGCTACCAGGGCTGAGAAGATTACTGCTTTCTGAAACCTAAATGCTGTACTGGGAAAAGGCTAAGGATACAAATTATGAAGTGTTTCCAGTCAGTAAAATCGTAGGAACATCTGTAATGTATTAAAAGTATATTAGGCAGCAGCTATAGTTTTCTCTCCATTTTTCCATTAACATAATTATGAGGGTCAGTAGCAATTGTGGGGGAATACTGACTTTTCTTTGGGAGTCTCATAAACTTAGCTGAATTTTAAAGCACATGATGTCATGTTCTTTGTTGATGTGGGAGAAACTAGTGAGAGGGGAACATGCATGTAATAAGCCCAGTAATAAGACTGTGTTGTGATTTCTGCTTCATTTTTTTAAGTGATATTTTTATATATTTGTCTACTTGCAAATTAACAATTTTAGGTTCATTACTACTCTACACACACATTCTGGATCAGAGAGATAACACTCCTCACAAAGCACAATCCAACTCTATCGCAGAGTTCTCACAGGCAGGGACTGTGCATGGACTATTTTAGGTGGCTTTTAGGAAGCAAGATGTGACCAAATCAGGAAAAAAACATCCTGAGGACTTTTAGCAAGTATTTAGTTCAAGATCCTCAGCTGCAGTGATGTAACCTCAGCCCTAGAGGCTGACTAGAGAAGCAAAGAAGGTTTGCTTTTAGCCCTGCTTTCACTGCCCAACGCCAAAGGCTCCCTGTTGAACCTGAAGAAATCTCACAACTGATGCTTGGTGGGCTCTAAGAATGCTGTAGGGACCAACTGAGGAAGGACAGACCTAACTGGAGGAATCTCAGCAGCTTGTGGGCTTGACACAGAAGCCCTTCAGGACCAGAGGGGTTCCATCAGACCATGGTTAACTGCTACAGAACTATCTAACCAGACCATTTGGCACTCTAAACCCTAGCTATGATTTCTGTAATTAACATATGAATTCCTCTACTGACACAGGAAGGTTTCCCACCCTTCTTCACTTTTGATAATTGCTAAGAGTCTTTCACATCCTTATTTCCTCCTCTGTTACTAAACACTGAAAAATAAATAAAACAACTCCTACACTTTTGAGTGCTTTACACTTAGGCTTAGCATGTTTACACTGGATTCGGTCTTTGCAAGAAGGAAGAACTGTTTTAAAATTGCTAAACAATTCATAGTAACTTGAGCTTCCCCTTTTCCAACATCTTCCTGCTTTATTTAGTAGCATTTACAGTACCCAATCCAAATTGCTGAGACAGGGACTGGTCATCAGAAAAATATGTAGAAATGTCTGCCTACTACCCTTGTGTAGGCAGCCTGCTCTGTGGTTTGATCCTCTAGCACTGTTTCTTTGGTTGATGTGCTTTACTTTTGGTTTATTGACCTTTTGATCGAAGTACTTTAAGCTCTGGGTTCAGAGCACTGCTTTTGGAGGGGGGATTTAGATACAGGGCTTTTGTATTTCTGGTTTTGTACATCGTGTGTGACCCTTTTAAACTCCATTTCCTTGAAGTCAGCTGAATTCTGTCCGGGTACCCAGGGCAGTTAAGTATGTGTCACAAAGGGTCCAAGGAGCTGTGGTATTTACAGGGATCCAATGCTGCATTTTGGCCATAATCTCCACTGACAGACAATAAGCACCAGTGTTTGGTGAGTCATGGATCCACTTAAACCACAATTTCCCACAGAATTATAAAACTGAAGCTCTTAATAACTCTCTTTAAACTACAAAAACAAATGTTCAGCTGGTATTTTTTTGCGGTGACTCTCTAAGTGCTCTGTTCCTGTGTCACAGAACAAAATGAAAACCAGCTGTAAAACAATATTCTACTGACATCATGGATATGTATGCACATGAATAATTTTTCAGACATTTGGTAAATCTTCTCCTTTCCATGATGCTTTGTAACAATGGATCAGTATTTCATTTTTGTGTGTGAATAAGTTGTATGAAAGAATCTAGAGAAAAATGATCACTAGGCTTTTAGCATTTGGATGAACCCATAGTTTCTGAGTAGAAACTTAAAAATAAAGAAAAGGTAGGAGGTTGTCATTTCGACTTATTTTTGCTGTCCCTTAGGTCAACTGCTTCGTCTGTGAAAAAGAAAAATTTATGTTTCAAAATGATAAATTTATGTTTCAAAATGATAAATTTACCATGGCTGACTCTTCCAAAATTTCTAGACGCTGAACAGCATTTAAATTTCAAGTCAAAGGAGAAAAAAGAGTGGCTCTCTCCTACAAAATGTTGTGGTCCAATTTCTACCACAAGGGATGAGCAAACATTACTAATATTGCATCTGTTATGTGGTGATGTATCAGAGCCAGTAAGAGCTGGGCCTTATGCCTAAGACTCTGCCCTTGGGAGCTGTAAGAGTGGGAAAAATCAGCTTAATTTATTATAAAAAAGAGAGGAGGGGAGAGATGGGCAGCACAACACAAGGAATCTACCTGTCAAAGCACCAACACGAGAGAAAATACCATCCAGACTTGCAGAGGCAGAAATAGTTTCATGAAAAGGTCTGTGATGGAGAAGGAAGGTTCTGGGAGGCACTGGGAGGAGGGTAAGGGCAAGGCTGGTGAATGAGAATCCAAGGGGTAGGAGAGAGCCTAGAGCAACAAAAAAGGTTAGGAACAAGAGGTAAGGACTAAAGAGACAGGAAGGTCTGGGCAAGCAGTGGGACTGGATCAAGATATGGCCTGCACAGGTAAGAGAGGTGACCTTGAGGTGTAGGAGCACTGTGCTATTAGGAAAAGTAGGATGGGTGTCCTCAGAGAGGGGGTAAAGCCAGAAAAAGTCAACAGTCTGGAGTACCAATGTTAAGACAAACAAGCAGAATTAGAATCAACTTTCCTGAAGCAGCTGGGGATTAAATGCTGTATAATTCAGAAGCATTTTTTAAGATTCCTGTTGCCTTTAGGGAGAGGTGGGGAATGCCCAACACACCAGAATTCTGTAAGGGAGCATGTCACAGTTCTGTGTCACTGAAAATCACCAGCAAGGGATTTCAGAAACCTTTCAATCCTCACAAGCTTTTTGGGTGTTCTGCCTTGGTCACTGTGCCCAACTCAGATTTCCAACACACCCTTTCTGCAAAATTTAGATAACTCTGGGTTCAAAACAAATCAGAAAGAGTGAGTGTCCACACTGCTGGGTGGGTCTGACCTATGGGAACAGTATTTCCACCCAGGTCTGTGCTGTGCTTTCTTGAGGCCCCTCAGATGTATTGTGAGTGGCAGATGAACTACTGAGCTGTTCTGGAAAGGCCCAACCTTTGGTGTTCTCCCTCCAGTGCCTGGTCAGTCACAGGTCAGGAGAGACCAGCAGTTACTCAGTTTGGATCCTCTGACAGTCGTGTCTTAGCGGAGAAGTCAAGAGTGTGTGACCTTCTGATAGCAACCTAAGGAGATATATTTTTACACATTGGGCAAAAGGTTCTGCTTTCTCATAGAACTTGTCAGCTGTTCCTAAATTACTTGACACTTAATGTCAATCCACTTAAAGTATAAAACATTGAAATTATAAAACATTTTACGCATTTGCATTAACCAAGCTCCAACTTTTCCTGCTCCTGGTATTTATGCTTTGCTTGGAGTTCAAATGTTTCTACTCATAAAGAACCTGACTGATAAAGAACCTTACAAATGTTGACATACAAGAAATCTCTGATCCCTCCAATGTTCACCAGTTCCTCCAGAAATATCTCTGTGTGTGTACATGGGTGCGCGTATGTAAACGTACATGTGTATTTTTATCTGTATTCTGATATATTTTTGCTGCCTCAGAATCATAAGCATGAGGGAACTAAGCCATGAGATTATCTAACTTGACTTAAAACCAGGAACAAAATCAGTGTACATCAGATTACATTGCTTGATAATTAAAAATTGATAAGTAAAAATATATATAAACACAGTTACCATAGCTCAACTGCTACACGACAACCTTTAATGTTGTCACTTAATGTTGTCTGTGAATATGAAACATCCGCTCATATAGTCATGACCTTTAAACAAACACCTGGATTCCAAAATTAGAAGAGATTTTCCTCCCTCTATGTGAAGGTCACTGCAAGATTGGAATTGTTTTTACATGTGTTATGTTAAAAAGAAAGGGCTTTGTTCCATAAAAGTGTGACAATTCAGATTTGTGTGAATGAATGACATCCAGCTATCCTTAGAGGGAGAAGAAAATTTGATCCTAAGTTGAAAAGACACAAAGGAATCTTTTTTAACAAGTTCCCTACAAAAACAAATCCCCTTCCAACTGTTTCTTTCTTTAAAAGAAAATAATAAGCACAGGTTAGCAGAAAACCGACTCTGGCAGGCTCACATGCTGTCTTATTCTCCTCCTCCCAGTCACAATCAACTTAAAAAATAGTCTTGATAGATCTAAAAAGTCTGAAACACTCTTTCCAGAGAGTATGACAATGGAGGCATGGAGTCACCACATCAGCTCAGAGATTCATCCAACATCATCTCATTGGTGCATATCAATTTTGAAACAAAGCAGGAAAGAATATAAGGTTTTGGCTCACATGTACGCTTTGTAGTTACTGCCTATCTTTTGGATCCTGATGTCATATTTGGAGTCTATGAAGGGCTCAGTGGTGGCGTAGGTCTGAGTAAGTGCTACCACGCTGGCTATGTCCTGAAAATCGTAGTGGTTGTCTACCTTGATCTGCAGTCACCATGTCACAAGACAACAGCATATACAAAAGAAAAAAGAGTAATTAGGAATAAAATGTAAAATTTCAGTTGCAAATGGCATTCATGAGAAGTATGTTTTCTGACAGCATGAGTTTATTTAAAAAAGTGTAGGATATTTTATCTGATTTCTAGATTCTATAACATTTTTGCATTAAAGTTTCTGTTTTTCTAAGCAAAATATTACCTGTTCATCTATGGAAAGAAAATTGCAGATAGTGGAATTTCATTTTGCCTTAATTTTTTTTTTAAGTGGTGGTTGTCAAATATACATCTGCAAGCGTTAGCATTTTTTAAGGTGTGATATGCAACCCTAATTTATATAGAGTTCTTGCTGCTTCTATAAATTGCTCAAGTAACTAAATGTATCTGAAGCCCACCATGAAGCTCCTCCCATGAAGGAGGAGCTGAAGGGTCAGGATATCCTGATGAGTGCACATTCACAGGAAGCACAGAGGGGTTGGCTCAAATCAGCAGGATCATTATTCTCATTTTTCTCACTTCTCTGCAAGGATTTGGGCTTTGTGGGAGTAGAATTTCCTAGTTGTGGAACACTGTGCTAAGGTGGTTCTAAATGGTACTTAAGCCATCAACTTCATCATCTTGAAATAAGGAGGAGGTGGAAAAGTGGGGAATATTGATCTAGAGGGAAAGGGAGGAGACTTTAGTGGACAGAGAGACATCGCTTTTGTCCAAGGGAGGGCAAATCTCTGTGGGTGACTCAAAGCTGGCTGAAACAGGGAGTAAAAGCGACTCAGAAGAGAAACCTTGGGGCTGGTAGAAAATGGGAGAGGGAAGGTGGATCTCCACCATACTGCTCCAAAGGACATGTCAGAATGGTGAGGAAAGGAGGCAGGGATTAGTATTTCTCATGGTATCTAATATTAGGAGAGTTTGTAACTCTTTGCAAGTCCAGTGTCTCCTTTGCTTTTACTGTCACCTGGTACTTAAAGGGACCCTGAGGGCCCTCAGGGAGGTGGGACTTGCATGTCAAACAGCATTTAAAAGTCCAAAGTCTAACTATTCACTCCCAGCTCTCAGATGGAGAAAGATACAGAGTAATTTGCCATTTGAGAGCCACAAAACTAGACACAAAGCCTGCTTTCAACTTGATTTTCTGAAAATTTACTGGCCTGTACAAGTGTAATTGGGACCACTGGAAACACTCCTGCTGGCAGTGCCCTCAGGGAGGCCTGGGTTATGAGGAGAACCTTCCTTTCCACTCTGACTAAGCAGTTAATAACAAAAGGCTGGCATTTAATCTCTAAGGGTTTAAAAAAAACCCCCTAGATTTATTTCTAGACATATGACATGCTGAACATTTCTGTCCATTATTTTTCTTTCTCTATAAACGAGAGGTGAATATTGAAATAAGGCATAAACATTCTAACAATTCACATATGCAATCCACATAAACTGCAGTTTAATTAGTGGTCAATTGTGCTCTCAATTAAATTGGTTGCTGGATTTCCACTGACTTACTAACTATGAAATAAAGCAAAACAGTGATAGACGAAAGAAGATAGCATACAGTACAACTTGTAATAAAATCAGTTTTCTATTTCTATTACTAGTGGCAAACATTATGTTCATGGAGCTTTTGAAGATTCAAGATGATAAATGTAACTATTCTCTGATGATTTGTTTTAAAATCTAAAACACTTAAAGCATTGAAATGTTTTCAGTGAGTGAAGTTACTCTGTAATGACTAGAAATTGGCACTGATAGCCGTGAAATCAGGATTGGAATCATATCCCATCGACCCAGCACTGTGAGATAAGTGATACCAAAACAACTGTACTCACCACTGAAATGCAATTACTTTGGAGAAAGAAAGCAGCAGTTATATAGTGGTATGAAACAATCACAGAGAATACATTAATAAAAGTTCAGTATCAAGCTGAAACTAATAAAGAACCAAGGCAAAACCTTCACATATTCCCAGGTTCAAAAAGCTGGATTGTGCAACAGATCTTGACTCTCAAAGAGTTTCAGTGCAATCAACCAAATTAATAAACAAGGTTTTGCTTCGAGAAAGCATCTCAGCATATTTCAAAGAGTGTCCTGGGCAGGGCAATGCATAAATTGCAAAGGCCTCCATGTGAAAAAATATTGTGCATGTTTCTATTTTCCTGAAGAGAGATGCTTTCTTGAACAACAGACAAGCAGAGATTTGCAAGGGTAGGGATCTGAGGCAGAATCTGGACAGTTGAAAAGTAAAATATCCAGGAAAAGAATGAACATGCACAGTACTGTAGACAAACACCCAGGCTCCTGACATGCAATAAGTAGCATCTGCACCTTTCCCATGCCTGAATGAGCATGTCCAATCTTCACAACAACAGGAAAGGTTGGCATTGTTAGCTGAGGGGGGAAACAAAACAGACAGGTTAGAGATAGCAACCAGCAGTTAAAGGATTAAGCAACATCATTTAGGGAAATTATTTAAGTATAACAACAATGAGGCCAAAGCTGCTCTTGCCATGTAGTTACTCGAACTGTTAATCATCTGTGTAATTCTGTGCTTTGATGACTTACTGTGTGTGTTTTCTGAGGTCTGTGTTATTCCCAAGACAGCCAAGTGATGTATTTCTCTTTTCTGCGTCTGTCCTTTGACTTCACTTTTTAACTGAATTTCTGCTGTTTCCTATTTTATGTTTTCCTGCTTGTGTTTTTTGACCCATAAACTCACACTCCTCAAGGTTATAATCATTAACAAGGTCAAATTAGCCACCTTTTCAACTTGATTTCCATTATTTAGCATGGCTATAGATACATTTTGTGACCATTTATGAAAGCAGTGATGTTTAATTCACCACGAAGCTTGTTTTAAAGGCAGATCCTGACACAGAACATCCAAGTTTTCTAGGAAAGCTCCAGCATAGAATGCAAGGAATAATTCAGCTATTGGGTAGGAAATCAAATATACAAAAGCATATGAAAACACTTTATTCAATGTAATGGCAGTGGTTCTGTCTCTCAGAGAGGTCTGTAAATGGCCAGTTTTACTTCCATCATTCATTTGAAGTTTTATATCTCCCAGTCGTGGGCACAGCTGGCACTTCTTTTTCTTCCACCTAAAATGCACATATATTGAACATCTCTCAACCAAGCACAAACACACAGACTTAGTAGAAGAGGATTGTAACTAGAAATAAAAAACTGAACACCTGCAACATGTAATAAAACTGGGAAGCAGTAGGACAGTGCTCCAAAACCTTCATTTAGAACCACATTTCAATGCAGTAAATACAATCAAAGGCAAAGCTGACGCTTTAGAAAATGAACTAAGAATTACGAGAGGTTTTATGAGATGTCAGTTTTCCAAATACTTAAAAAGGATTGGCAAGAGATTAAATGGAGTTCACACTTATCTCACTGTGCACAACATTGCACACAAAGACACAGAATTTATATGGAAAATATCATGGGACAGTAAATGACATTGAAATCAAGAATAGGAAGGTCATTTGGTGTTTGGTAATGCCCGAACCTATTTGCAGGTTACAAAGTTGGTTACAATACACACACACTTTTCCTATATTTTAAACATTTATTTTCAATATGATTTTAAGATGTCTGCTTTAAAAATACTGGAACTGCACGAGAACAAGTGGGCATTCACTGAAAGGATCATATTCCACACTACGTACCCTCACATTCCCAGTACAAGACATGAATCTCTTTGTTTTCTTATATTTTTTTTAATGAACTTTCTCTGATCTTTCTAAAATGCATACTGATGCAATATTATATATAAATATATATATAAAGGACATCAAATCAAACCAAGTTCTTTGTTTTTTGACAGAATCTCAGTTTCTGCTCTGCCTCATCAAAAGAAACAGAAGGAATCTTTGGATCTACCCTTTTAACACACCAGAGTTTTCAAAGCCTGATGAAACTACGGGGTCCCAGAGTTGGCAGCTGCACAACACAGGCTGGAGAGGTTTTTCACTGATTTCTGCATCAAACCCAAAACTAGGGCTAGTGTGTCTTTGGAGGAGAGAACCAGATTTGATTTAAAGATGTGCAGTTTTCCTGGTTAATTTATTTTATAAGTTAAGATCTCATATATGTATCTTCTGCCAGGGCATCCTTGAGCTTTGAAATCCAGGACCACAGGCAGGCAGACCATTCTCAAACCATCTCTTAGTTGTTTATATTACACGTGTAACTGCAGCTGCCACATTTCTGTGCCTGTGTAAAGGGAACTTGTATTTTCTTGGAGAAATTCTGGATACTTTGGTTAACATTGCAGAAATTGATAACTGAAAACTCTGAACACCCTTTATTTAACTCTTGTTTATGCACCACTTAAAGCCCTGGTCTTTAAATCTAAAATACATTCAATTGCTTTTTAAAGTTCTGTTTCCATATAACCAGTTTAAGTTAAGGCACATAAGCATGAAAAGAATAGGTTAGTTTCAGAATAGCCATAAGCATTTGCAAAAGCATTATACAGTAAAGGTCACCTATACAGCAATTTAAGAAGAAAGTCCTTGCTAAACTGTAGGAACACAAAGTCCTGCACGGTCAACATCTAGTCACTTGTGGATTGCTTTCAGATTTTAAAGCTAGGCAGTTTTTTTTAATTTTTGGGGGTAAGAGTGGGAACAAATCATTGCCTGACTCAAGAGTCATAAGGACAGGACCACATTTCTATGACTGAACTACAAACCACTGAACTGGGGTTTGTAATGGAAATGCTCTAACTATAGAAATACAAATGGCACTCCTGTAATTAAGAGGACCACATATCTTCCTATGATCCCAAAGCTGTGGAACCCTCTGTGGGCCACAGGAACAAACACCAATTCATGTTGTTTTTTTTTTTTAAAAAGGAAAAGTATCTGTGCTTTCTACCTCACAAAATGCACTAACATCATTTCCCTCTGGAGCCTGATCCCAAGATTCCATGTGGGACACCACATCCCAGCACAGCCTGAGGGAAGAGGTGGCAGCTGGGAAAAAGAGCTGAATGATGTGTTTCAAACTTCAAATAGAAAAAAGACAACTAGCACAGAAGGCAGACAAAATTAAGTTATCCCAGCACTTCTCTTGTTTTTATCAATCTCTGTGACAGGCCCATGAACCCAGGGCTGATGAAGTTGTAGTTATTTCTAGCTAGCTAGCTAGCTATCTGTCTGTCTGTCTGTCTATCTATCTACCTATTTTATGTGATAAAAGTGTGATAGTGATGGTGAAAACTTACTGGTTCCATGATTTTTCCCTTTAATTTACCGTATAATTACTTGATAAGGAGGCACCTTGAAAGAAGATCTATCAATGGATCCACTTTCAACAGAGTGGATACTAATAGGACTCACTGTGTGTTTGCTTTGGAATGTATCACTGAGGGGCAAATGCCATTTTGCAAAAAAATTCTACAGTGGCAATGTAGGAACACATATACAGGCAGTTGAGGTATATACTGATATTTGCTAATACAATGTCATTAATCAAAATAACACCGAGTATTCAAATGTTTTATCAGCTCAAAAATTGCAAAGATGGGTTCAGTCAACACACTTCCATTTATCTGGTTTCAACTTCTCATATTGTTATTTTGTGTAAATGTGATGTCTCATTTCAACAGAACACTGACTTAGGATAAGTTGCATGACTCACTTCTATGATTAGAACTAAGTACTACTACTTGAAGACACATTGCCAAGGAGAGCAAACAGCAGATAAAAGGCAGTAATGAAAAATGTTTTGAAGAGGAATCCTTTTAAAATCTGGATAACAGAAGTCAATTCTTCAGTTTTAACCTCACAAATATTTAGCACGGAAGTGGCTTTACTGAACTGACGTGTTTCAATGTTTTTTGTCATATACTAATAGCATGAATAAAAATTCATAGTTAATGACTGGACAAATCTAATGGTTGTTACACCTTCCAACTGGGGGTTTACTCACAGGTGACATGAGTTGCAACGAGTGTAGCAGTAATGTTTTAACACCACTTGGCAGGCCAGGCACTTCCCTAAGTGTTAGAAGTCTAATGCTCTCATGGTTAACTGCACTGTGGAAGGGTTTAAAGACACAGGAGAATTAGGGATTAAATATTAGAAGTGATTAAATCTGTAATGGAAATACAACAGAGTATATGGGTTTAAAAAGTGATAATAAAATCTGCAATCTCCTGTCTGAAAAATCACCATGTTTTTAATAACATCTATCTTTTTTCTCTCCAAATGACTATCTATTAGTGTTTTTCATTCAGGAGCTCATTTGCTTGCAGCTTAATTCTTTACTATCACTTTATTTTACATAACTACCATTTATTTTATCATTTTCAAGGCAGTCCAGTTGAAAACCAATCTTTTCATGGCATTGCATGAATGTCCCTGAAATGGATCCTGTGGTGGGCCTGACACGTTTTTTCAGATGAACACCTTTGAGGTTAATTGTTGTAGTTGTTGCAGGAGCAATTTTTCTAAAATTAATGGATTTGGGGTTTTGGCTGTGTCCTTGCAACGGGAATACAGCAGCTGGGAACTGACACCAAGAGGAGCTGCACTGGCAGAGCTTCTAAACATCCTGAGATCTGGACTCCACAATCTCCGTGGGGAAGCTGGAGGCCCATGTCCAAGACTCATCCTTTCAAACCACTGCCGGCAGCAACTGCAATATTCTTTAATTCTTTTAAATTGCTGAAAACAACCCAGACAGCAGCCCCTCAACAGGCCTCACAGTTGTGGATTCACCATTCATTTTTCACTGGATCTACTCGTATTAGTTTGATAAGAGCAAAGACAGTACTGGAACTCAGGATATTCATTATTTCTCCAGTTTTCCATTTGCTCTTTTTTGTTTCCCATACAGGGAACCTACAAAGTAATTACAGCTGCAGTTAAGCTATTTAGATTTACAGACAAGGAACTACCTGAAACAGGAGTTCTACTGACGAAATTACAGGGAGGATTTGACCCAGTATTCTGAAGCTGCTGGATAAATCTGAATTAAGGCAAGTGTGAATTGCCAGCCCAGTGTTCTGACACAGGTCACAGAAGCAAGTTTCTCACGTCATTAAGTCTCTTGGATTCAGGTCATGACAACTGTGGGGTTACCTAGCCTGGGACCACAAAGCTTTTTGAAACTGCTGGGGCTGGGAGCAGTAAGGGATCAAATCATCCTAATTAAGGCTCGAAACGCTTTGGATTTTTCCTCCTCTGTAGATGTTAAGTTATTACATCAAACGTTCCTTTTCTATGTTGCAAGGAAAGTTTTCAAATTGGATCAAACACAAATTAGGTTCAAAGATTCATTAGTTACTGGTCAGAACCTATTTTAAATGCCTGAAATCCGCAAAATAACATTGCACTACTTTTCTGAAATGTCAAGATATTTTTAATATG